ATCTAATACGACTACTACTGAAGAACTTCGCGCACAATACGTTGGGGTACATCACGAAAGGCAGCTAAACGAATTTATCAAATTAGACGCAAATCGATATTCATCCTGGCGCCGTCTTCTTACCATGACCGCAGCAGTTATCTATTGTGCCAGAATTTGGTTGAACCGAATAAAGCATTCGCCAGATAGAGAAGCTAGCTATCGTACACCTCGCACCGAAGACTTCCAGCTGGCTGAAATAATGCTGTGGAAACAGGCCCAGCTTGACGCCTTCAAAGATGAAATATTTTCGCTCAAAGACGGGAGGTACGTTGAACGGTCTAGTTCGATCTACAAACTATCTCCGTATCTAGATAGCAACAACGTAATTCGTCTCGGTTCACGCTTATGCACGAGCGAGAAGAACGATTTAGTTATTCTTCCTAAAGATCATTACATAACGTATCTGATCGTGTCCGATATTCACGCTAAATATCAACATAGAAATTCAGAAACGGTGGTAAACGACGTCCGACGAAATTACTGGGTGCCTCGGCTAAGAGTGCTTGTCAATAAGGTGAAACGCCGATGTCCATATTGCAAAATAAACAGCGCGCGGCCCAATCCGCCTAGGATGGGCAATCTACCGCCTGCTAGAGTCGCTGCCTTCCACCGGCCGTTTTCATATGTCGGGGTCGACTATTTTGGCCCGCTCTTGGTATCGATAAGGAGAAGCAGCGAAAAACGTTACGGAGTATTGTTCACCTGCCTCACGACAAGAGCGATCCATATCGAAATCGCTCACACTCTTTCAGCGGACTCATGCATTTTTGCTATACGCAATTTTATTGCCAGAAGAGGTAATCCGGTGGAGTTTTGGAGTGACAATGGCACAAATTTTAAGGGTGCGGAAAGGGAATTGCAAGCCGTTTTCGAACTAATGGATAAAAGCGAAATCATCAGAACCTTTACCAGTCCTAAAATGACATGGAAGTTCATTCCACCAGCGGCACCACACATGGGTGGTGTGTGGGAGAGACTAGTACGCTCCGTAAAAGATGTTTTATATTCCATATTGAGAGGCAGAACTACTAGTGATGAACTATTGCGTGCTGCGTTAATGGAATCTGAAATGGTGATTAACTCTCGGCCTCTAACATATGTACCGATATCCGATTATGAGGATGAAGCACTAACGCCGAATCATTTTCTTCTCGGCAAATCAGTCAGTTCCAAGCCCATGTCGGAGGTCACCGCTGCTGGACTGACTCTGCGAAGAGGCTGGCTGGCCTCGCAACAGTTGGCCAACTCGTTTTGGAGGCGATGGC